TAGACTCTATCTAGGTTGATAGAAGGTTGATCATAGGAAAACTTGGTGGAGGACCCTAGTACTTAAAAGTACTTAACACTCAAAACTTGGTGGAGGACCCTAGTACTAAAAAGTACTTAATACTCAAACTTGGTGGAGGACCCTAGGACTTAAAGTCCTTAACACTCAAAACTTAGTGGAGGACCCTAGTACTTAAAAAGTACTTAACACTCAAACTTGGTGGAGGACCCTAGGACTTAAAAGTCCTTAACACTCAAACTTGGTGGAGGACCCTAGTACTTAAAAGTACTTAACACTCAAAACTTGGTGGAGGACCCTAGGACTTATGAGTCCTTAACACTCACAAACCGGTGGAGTATCCAAGGATTATGATCCTAAAACTCATAGATTATGATATACAATTAGGGACAAGGAGGAGTCCTATACACTCATAGGGATATAGGTGGGTTGGGGTTTTTAGTCAAGAATATTGACTATTACTATTTTTCCCAAATAAAATGGTGATCTACGGATCGGATATTTTCCAAGTATATATATATATACTAATAAGTATTTCATAACTTGGGGGAAAGACTATTTATTTAAGTATCACCCTATGTTTGGGTCTTATACTTGAAACGCTGGTTATTCTATATTTAGCCTGCTACTCGCTCGGTACTTGTACTGACCCCTTCGGGGGGCCCCACCATTTTCAGGTTGAAGCTAGGGCTTGCTACTTGCACCTTCTCACGGGTGGTATCATATCGGGAAGACGTGGTTCGTGCCCTCTTATTTTCTTTCCAACTACCGAACACTTGCTCATGGATATTTGTTTTACTGTAAACTATTTTTGGGGCTTGCATGCCCATGTTGTTGGCCGGTTGTGGCTCATGACTACCATTGAATAATTCCGCTATTCATTGGTTTAAATGTGATGTTGTTATGTATGTTTACTACTGAGTATGGATGGATTGTTTTCTAGGACGCCTTGTGTAATTAAGTGAGGTTGACTCGTGGGTGACGTCACTTGATTATACGGCGGTTGTACACGCGCTTGGATTGCGGTCTGGGGTGTGACACAAAGCACATGTCAACTCCTATTTGTGACCTCCCTTCTTGATCCTTCACTTTGTGATCTCCCATAATGGGGATCAAGTGGGTTAACTTTTTTTTTATCCCCATTTGACCTCCCATATTGGGTGCCCTTATGTAATGTTTTTGTTTAAACTTTATACTCCTCCTTAAGTCCTTATGTTATTTTACGTGATGCATTTTATTTCACATTTTGTGTATTCGTTTTATGGTCTTTCAGATTATTTTAAATTTATTCTTTAATGGTCATGCGTTTTATTGTTGTTTAACTTTTACTTCCTCAATGAAATTTTAATTTCTTAGATTATAAAAATGAGTTTTATGTTATACCTATAGGAGTATAAATGTATAATGTTTAAAAGAAATTTTTTGAGACAACCTAAAAAGGAAAATTGATAAAACTAGAAGGGACGAAAAGAGTATATTTATAATCCATGATTTTGAATAGATTCTTGTTCATGATAGATGGCCTTACTAATGGACAGAGTGGGACGACCTTAGAGTGGAAGCTGGTCAATACAAAATACAGCGAGCATGCTACCTTACAGACCTGCTGCTAAATGTGCTGCTGAAATGATCGGGCTCGATGAAGATGAACTAAAGGAAGGGGAAAACTACAAAGAAACCTCTAAGGCTGTCACCAAAGAGAAAGCACCCAAGAAGGTCTTGGAGATTGTCAGAATCATAGCCCCCTTTCTAGAAGAAATTCGAGAGCGAATATGGCGTCAACCGGAGAAGATCAAGAAATTTAGTGAACTAAAATTTGTGGAATCAATCATCTCAAAGGAAAATACAGAGGTGGAAATCTGTACATGCTAGGACACAGATCCACAGGGGAACAACGACAAATTCTGAATCATAATCTTGAAACTAGCGGATGTCCTGTATGGAAAATCCTGGATGTAACAGAAGATTACTTAGAAACAATCAAGTTCTCTGTTTTTAGTCTCTAAGGCACTGATGAATCATAGTTCACCTGCCAAGAGAATGACTTCTTTCTACTTCACATGGATGACATCTATCTGATGTTCATGAGATGCAGGGAATTACCAGTTCACGGAAACAGACTTGCTAAAGAGGGCTTCGAGGCTGTCAAAAGATTCACGACAAGACAAGTTCGATTCTACGCTTCCCATGATCTTCAGATGGCCCTAGAACACAACTACTCAAAGGCAAATCTCACACAACTAGACTTGAACAGACCTGGACTTGAGCCCTTCGCAGCATATCACATCTTTGACAATCCAGTATCAGTCATCTATCTGAGTCACAACGAAGAGAAGCGTCTGATGATTGTTGATGAAATTCACAAATACTGTGATGGGAGCCTAAAGATCATTTGGGAACAGCTTCAACCAAAGAAAGAAGAACTTGATAAGAAATTGATAGAAGCCTTCGAAGATGAACTCAAGGAACTACAGAGAGTTGATAATATTCTGAAAAAAATCGAGAAGCAGCTTGACAGATGAAGGTCTCTCAGAAACTACGAGCACGCACTGAATCTTTGCAAGCACTATTACAGAGCTCAGAAATAAAGGATACCCAAGCAAGACGACACTTGATCACAAAGGAGGAGATTGTTAGGACTATTTTAATTATGAATCAAGTTTGTCTTTATGTCTTGTTATTAATTAGTATAGTTTACCATTTATGGTATAAAAAATATGTAATAATTAGGTTGTAAGGGAATAAGGCCAAAAAAGGCTTTAGGCCCAAACTCCTAGGTTACCACTTTAGGTACTTGCACTGCGCCTATAAATATGCGCGTTAGCGTATAGGTCTAAAGGTCGATCAATTCTATTCCATAGCCTTACGCTGTAAAAACTTCTCGATAAATAGAAAGGAAGGTTTGCAAGTTCTCGATATTGCCTTAGATCATTATGTGAAATCTTCTTCTCTGTTTATTGTTGATATCCATCTAGCTGTGTGTTAGTCTACAGAAATTTGGGACCAACATTTTTAATAAACCATCAAATATTGTTTAGATTTTATATATGCAATATTGATGTCGTATGAAAGATCGTAAAAATTATGATTTTTGATATATATATTTTAAAACATTAGAGTAAAAATGAAAAAGTTGTAACACTTTGAAGAAAATAGTAATTTAAAAATACAATGGGCCCCATTAATATTGATGCCACGTTTTATTATGGAGTGATACAAATGGTTATCATAGAGTTGGTTCCGTTACTTCTGTATTAGCTAGGAAGTATTATTACGTAGTATTAATTAGTACTTGAATTTGCCACTTGGCATTTGTATATTAAAAGAGTGAAATATGAAAAGAAGGACACGAAGGATTCATTAAGGGTATAATTGTCTTTTAATGAGCTATTTATTTTCTTATATATAAATAGAATAGAATTCAACCGGGAAGTCAGTTAAATAAAGGAAAAATTGATAGTAATAATCCTAAATATTGGTTGTCCGCTCAAAATAATCTCAACTATGGATTATTCCAGAATAATTCCAACTTTAGGGACGTTCCGCCAATAATGGTCCGACATGACCGACTATAAATAAATTCCTGTAGTTTCTAAAGTGGACGAGAAGAGATATTTCAGGTAATCCCTATAAATAATCATAACTTTTAATTTTTACTCTTAATTTCTATTTAAAATTCACATGGATCATTATTGGCGAAGGGTCCATATAGTTGGGATTATACAAAAATAATCAATAATTGGGATTATTGTTAGCGGACCGGCAATAGTTGAGATTATTATTTTCAATTTTTCCTTAAATAAATTGTTTAAAAACATTACGCCAAAAGATATATAAAAACACAATTTTTCCAATAATTTATTTAACTCACTTCCCGATTGAACTTTAATCCATTAGAATTTGTTACTTATTAGTTACTATTGGTGGTAACATATGACAAAACCTTTAACTTACTTGTTACATGTTTTGAGAAACCACTTTAAATACAGATAAAATATATAAATTATTACGCACCCTTTTGTAAACAACATTTAAATTATTCTTGACCGGTTTCTGTCATGATCACATATAATAAATTTCAACTCAGGCGGGGACTTTACTTGCACAATTATGAATGCACACAATTACTTGCGCTTATAAACTGTTAAATAATTGAGTAGCTAGCATCCATCAATTCTGCTATAAAATTTGAGGCTTATATACTAAAATTTTTCATCACCTCAAATTTTATAGATTGGGTGGTATCTAAACACACATATATGCATGCCTAAACATAATGAGTTGTTTTTTGGAATTTTATCAATTCACGACCTGAAAGATAGATGAATTATCAATCCGGGACCTGAAAGATGAAATGTATCAATATAGGACCCATATGATGAAAAATTATCAATTTAGGACCCAAATGATTGAAAATTATCAATCTAGGACCTAAATTATCATGAATTTTATTGATTTTTGGAAATTTTAAATATTATTTAGTTTTATTGAACTAATAAACTTTTGTGAAGAAAACTTTATCAAAAATTATCAATGGAGTTGATAAAAAAAATTAAATAAATCAGAACCTATGAAATGTTAGGTCCCTTGATAGTTTTCCATCATTCAGGTCCTATACTGATACATTTCATCTTTCAGGTTCCGAATTGATAATTCATCTATCTTTCGGGTCCCAAATTAATAAAATTCCTTGTTTTTTTAGGTGAAACGGTTATTTGGTAGGAAAGACCAAATATTACACTGTCCTTACTCAAAGGGTTTTATTGGTCAAAGGATTTAACAAGATAGTTTGAGGAAGCTGATTAGTTGTTTTAATTGGAATCCTAACAAACTATAAATTAATCTACAGGTATTCAAATAATTGAAACAACTAACTTGGAAGACATCAAAGTAGTAGACATTGCCATCTTCCACAGGACCTCGCAGGCAAGAGTACAAGACTTATCAAAGCATGCATGGTCATATATAGTATAACTCTATAAGTAGTTCATTAAATGCAAGATCAACTGGTCAACAAAAACATTGGTGACGGGTTTTCCTTTACAATGAGTACAACGTAACCTCACAAACCATAGGCATAATTTTTTCTTGTTTACAATGCAAGAGCTACCTGTCTTCTGCTGAGTATTGATAAATGATAATGGGAAGCTTATTGATGTTAGGAAGAAAGCTTTTACTGTAAGTGATTTTGTCAAATGGATGAAGATTGCAATCATTTTAATGATTGCAGAATCATTAAAATGATTATTCTTCTATCTAAGCTTAAAAGCTTTACAAATTAGTACAAAGTACTTTGAGTATTCAAGGAGTATATTAATTCTAATACTTTTAGTCTAACAGATCACAAATATACTAAACAGAAAAACGTGTCATGGAGATGATGACTTTAAGAAAATGGAAGCAAAAAACAAAACTTTATTGCCTCTATAAACGAGATCCTCCTCATCAATCAAATGTGCTGCATCTTAATACTCCTCTCATCCTCTGAGTGATTTATTTTTCCCCTGAAATTCCAAACTCTTTCTCATCACCCTGCAAATATTTAAAGCCCTAAACCTGAAAAAAATGAAGAAAATGGAAAACAATATCACATATAGGAACCTAAGCTAGAGAACACCAGGAAAAAAATAACAAATAAAGGATGGTCCATTTAAAATAATTGTCCAGGATTCTATCATAGTATCATGTACCCAAAATTTCAATCCCTTAAACGTCTACTACTATTAAATACTAACAGCAAAACCACCTCGTATAATATGAAACAAAAACATTTTCAAAATAAATAAGAAAATGAAAACAAAAGAACTACACTTCAATCACTAAGAAGTAAGAACTACTAATAAGCTTTGCATTCTTTAGGGTTTCAGGATTAAGAGGCTAAGGCTTCTTAGTAATTCCAAAAACATTAACAACCGTCTCAACTCTCAAGTATAGCACGATAAATAAATAGAGTGAAGCAAAAATGTTTTAATCAAAATCTGTTTTAATGGAAGTCACTCCACAAATGATAAAACTCTCTCTCGTAAAAGTGTGACTTCAATATTAAAGCCAAAACAATCACATTGCGTTAAAAAAGAACCTGCAGCAGGAATTTTGGAAAGTAAACCATTAATATTGAAACACATGAAGACGACCCTTATCAGCTTTCGAAGGAAAAAATGAAAAAGTAAAAGAAGTTGCATGTACCAAGTGATCTAAGGAACTTTGCCTTGTGCGTTGCAGCCACGACATAAGTCCAATTAGCAATATCGCCGAGGATATTGAAAAATGCAAACCTGCAGGACCTATTAAATAGCATTGTCCCAAGAACTACCCAAAACCCAACAACATATCCGACCCCTAGGCTTGCGTAAAACTCACTCCCAAAAAGCCTATCTTCTTCTTCTTCACTGGATCCGGGAGGGGAAGGATATGTTGACTCTTCTCCTGCACAGCTATTGGGGAGTGGATCTCCACATAGGGCGGGATTCCCCATGTATACACTTGCATTGAAGCTCTGAAGTTGTGTGCCTTTGGGAATTCTTCCAGATAAGTTATTGTTGGACACATTGAGAATCCCTATGCCGTAAATCAGGGCAAGGCTTTGAGGAATGCTACCAGACAAATGGTTACTAGACAAATCAAGAGTATTTAATTGTGCCAAGTTACCAATCCTCGAAGGAATCTGTCCCTTTAGATTGTTTCTTGATAAGTTTAACGAGGCCAACCCAACGAGCAATGTGATTTCAGTTGGAATTTCACCACTCAACATGTTGGATGATAGATCAATGCCCTGTACATATCCTAATATACTTCCAAATTCAAAAATCATACCTTTCCATATAAAACTTATTTTCTCAACTTCGTACACAACGTAAACACTATTATTTTCTGAAACCGAATTGAATTGTAACTCATGATAAATGGGGGCAATGCCATGGCCTTTTTTTACCGTCATCATTTTAGTGAGATTAGAAAGGCAATTGGGAAGAGTCCCTGAGATGTGGTTCATGGACAGGTCTAGCAGCTGAAGAGACTGGAGATGACACATACTTGCGGGCACACTTGCATTGAAGTTGTTCGATGTCAGCACAAGTATCACAAGTTGGGTTAGATTTTCACCCACCCAATCTGGTATTGGTCCAAACAAGTCGTTGTGTCCCAGATCTAAAGATACCAAGCTGGAGCAGTTTTTCATTGATAAAGGTAGAGGGCCTGTAAATTTGTTATTATCAAGATGTAATGCCTTCAAGGAAGCCAATGATCCGAAGGACGTGGGAAGAGTTCCTGATAGATTGTGATTGTATCCCAAGTTGAGAACTTTCAGACTAGAAAGACTTGACCAGCAATTCGGAAGAGTTCCTGAGAGTTGATTGAATGAGATATCCAAAAGCTCCACACATGCATGTGCCTCAATGTCACATAAGGAGTTGAGGTTGGTGAACTTATTCTGAGAAAGGTGCAGTACAGCCACATTGAAGAAAGAGGGTGGAATGACGCCTTCTAATTGATTGGAACTCATATCTAGTACACCACCGCGGATTGATGCTTGAGCACCAATTGCAAGTATTCCCTTGATTCTGTTATTAGAAATATTAATTTTCATAAAGCCATTAATAGGTGTATTCCAAAACCAGGAGGGGATTGAATCCGAGATGACGTTATTGGAAATGTCAAGATCCGTAAAATGGACTTGAGTTCTAAGCCAATTCGGAAACTCAGGACCCAACTTGCAAGAGCTAAGGTATATGGATTGCAGTTGGAAAGGGGGGAGCCAAGCAGAGGAGACATTGAAAGTAAAATTGTTTGAAGATAAGTCCAGGTAGGTTAGTTTGGAGAGGTTAAGAAAGTGATGTTCAGAAATGACCCCATCTAGGAGGTTATCTGATAAATCTAAATTGGCCAAAGAGGGGAAAACTGTAAGATTGGGAAATAACCCCGTGAATTGGTTGCTGGATAAGCGTAGTCTACTGAGAGGGTGATTTGGGCATAATGTCGATGTGGTTAGGCTTCCATTAAGACGGTTGGATGCCATGTTCAGGAGTTGCAGAGTGCATATGTTCCAAATGGATTTGGGGATTTCTCCTTCAAGTCTATTCCAACCAAGATCGAGCTTTTCAAGGACAGGCATACTCCCTAGAGCTTTAGGAATGCAACCTTTCAACAGATTCGATCCCAGGTCAAGGTGAGTCAACTTAACCATATTCCCGAGTGTGTCAGGAATGTAGCCTTCTAAGCTATTTGCACTGAGATCAAGGTATTTAAGGGCAGCCATGCTATCTCCAAAAGTTTCAGGAATGGAACCTGTTAAGCTATTAAGGGAGAGATCGAGGTATGTGAGGGAAGGCATGGTGTTTCCAAGATTTTCAGGAATGGTGCCAACATATCCGGTTTGATTGAGATTTAGATATTGAAGGTAAACCATAGTGTTGTCCCCAATCAATAATGAGATGCTCTGGTTTGCCAGCAAGTCTTGCTTAAAGCCAAGATCCAAATAGTTCAAATAGCGGAGCTCAAAGAATGGAAGGCTGGTGGTATACTTCCCACCATCTTTCGCGGACAGGTTCTTATCAAAAAGATCGATGTGGGTGACATGGCCAGTAGCGTCATCACACCTAACCCCCACCCAGTCACGGCAGCAATCTTCACTGCGGTAGCCCCAAGAGCCTAGCTCGCCATTCCAGTCAAGAACGCTGTGCTTGAACTTGAGGAGCACTTCTCTCTCCCCATCGATGCATTTTGGTATGGCGGCGGCAGCAGCAGCCCCACTCATCGCCAGCAGCAAGCAGTAACTCACTCCCACTGCCATTGCCGCGGATTCAGTGGACGCCCATAACAATGATAATCTACCCATTCCCAATATTCTCAACTACCTCTGCTCGGATCTTCCAATTTCGTGTATCTAGTTAGCTTATGTAAGTTGGTTAAATGGGGTACTTAAATTAGCTTTTCTCGTGTTCGTTCGTGTGTGAATACATCTTCCAATTTTGTTTCCCAGTTCCCACTGCCAAGTCAAAATGAGGAAATTGAATAAGAGAAGTCGCCCGTACGAGAAAGACCGCATTTTGGTCATCAAATCACATGTGTAATGTGTGCGCGGTTCTGATCTAGTGATCTTTATGAATTAGTGAAAGCGTGTCCGTTTATATCTACGCGTGCACAAACAATTCAGAATCCTTAGGTGCATTTACAAAAGAGAATTGTCTATGAGAGACAATTTTTTTTAAGGGACAGAGGAGTGTACACAAAATGTGTACACAAAGTGTGTACCTCCAGTATTTTTGTTTACAAAATACGTTCCACATGTAAACGAGTGTGTAAGCGCATTAGCGGAGTGTATAACTAGCATTTCTTATCGTGTTTAAGCAAATCATGTTTTGGAGTTTTTTCCCGAAGTAATGCTAATGAAATAAATAATTCCCAAAATACTGTCAGGTTAAAAATAATTTCCAAAATACTGTTGAATTAACCATGGTTAACACACAGTACAAGAGCCGCCACTTCAAGTGACGGCTTTGTTAAAGACCGAATACTTCACCAATCCGCCCATGCAAGAAGGAATAGCTAATGTCAATAATAAATGGTAGTGGGTCCCAACCTATTTAAAAATCTTCTATTTTCTTTGAAGTGCTATAACTTTTTTATTTGTATTTTGATCATTACAGAAATATACCAAAATTCATAACTTTTTATTATCTTTCATATGACACCAATATTGAATATATAAAGTTCAAAAATATTATAAGACTTTAAAAATTACTATGCCGGGAGTATATCTTTTTAAAGTGTTACATAATTTTTTAATGGAGAAATTACCCTAAATAGGACTAAAAGCACTTCTATATTCCAAAAATAGGACTGTCATGTTTTTATTCTCAAAATATGACTAATTACTGCCATGTTTTGGCCGTACTAGGCTTTAAAGATGACAGTATTTTCCAAACTTGACAGTAATTACTCCTATTTTGGGAATAAAAACATGACAGTCCTATTTTGGAATTTTCAAACTTATTTAGTCCTATTTCGGGAACTTTCCCTTTTTTAATTTGTACTCCGGTTATTACAAAAATGTATCAAAATTTATTATTTTTTATAATCTTTTATAGGAAAGCAATATTTCATATAGAAAAATAAAAAGAAAATCTATTAATTTTGTAGTTTAAGATATTTTTTTTACCATGCACACAATTAATCAAGAGTGATAGATTAAACAAATCACAAAATCCATCACATTTATTTATTTATTTATTTTTCGCACAAGAATTTATGTTGTTTTATTTTATATAATATCAATATTGAATATATCAAAATCCAATGTGCATTGTAAAAATCGATCCTAAACTACACAAAGTAATAGATTTTCTTTTTATTTTTCTGTATGAAACACTGCTTTCCTATAAAAAATAATAAATTTTGATACATTTTTTGTAATAATCGGAATATAAATAAAAAATCTTACGTATGTAACACTTTAAAAAAAGATTCATAGTAATTTTTAAAGTGTTAAATTATTATTTGACTTTATATATTCAATATTGGTGTCATATGAAAGATAATAAAAAGTTATGAATTTTGATATATTTCTTGTAAGGATCGGAGTATAAATAAAAAAGTTATAGCACTTCAAAAAAAATAGAAGATTTTTAAATAGGTTGGGACCCACTACCATTTATTATTGACATTAGCTATTCCCTCTTGTGTGGGTGAAGTATGTTCTTTAACAAAGCCGCCACTTGAAGTGGCGGTTCTTGTATTGTGTGTTAATCATGGTTAATCCAGCAGTATTTTGGGAATTATTTTTAACCCGGCAGTATTTTGGGAATTATTTATTTAATTAGCATTAGTTCGGGAAAAAACTCATGTTTTGAGCGTTTATTGTTTTACGGTTTCCGTCCCATTTTTGTTAATCATCATTCACTTTTCTAGTCGATGATAAACTTTAGTTGATCATTTTCACACATACGTAGTATATTTTAGTGAAAATTATAAATTTTATACTTTTATTATAATACCTCCATCTCAATGTACTTAGTCATCTTTGACTTTTTCAGTCAAAGGTGGTAAACTTTGACCAATTATTTCAACTAATATATTTATGCAAAATTTAATAATTTTATACTTTTATGATAGTATTTTAACAAAGAACATTTTCATATTATCAGTACTGTCTCTATATAAACATATAATCGGTCAAAGTTAGACGCAATTAACTTGAAAAGTCAAGTTTGGCTAAGTAAAATGGAACAAAAAAATTAGTATTTTTAACAAAATATTTTCATATTTATATACTTTCTTATATAAAAAATATTATCGGTCAAAGTCTTATATAAAAAATAGCATCTTTGATCGAAAAATAAAAAATGACTAACTAAAAATGGGACGAAGAGAGTATATACTCAGTTGATATACCGTGGGAGCAGCCCACCATGAGCATGCTGCTCCCATCCGAAAAAATCATGTGTTACTGTTCATGCGCGTGAACAGTAACTTTTTTTTGTTTTCTCATTGTCCAAGAGCAGAATGATGTAACTCGCGTGTAAAGAAATGTAACTCACGTTACTGATCAATGTAACTCAAGTCCATTCGAAATGTAACTTGTCAAATATAGAGTATAAGAAATAAAATATTGTTTTCAATGTAAACAATGAAAAAAGAGTTTAATTGCACAATTGCTTTAGATAAATCGTGAATATGTTTTGTTTTTAGTATCATGACCATAAAAAATGATTATAAAAATCACTTTTTTGTTTCAATAGCAGGGGTTGATTTTTTTATGTTACTCATGTTACTACAAATGTAACTCATGTTAATGAGCAATGTAATCGAAGATGAATCCAAATGTAACTTGTCCAATAATGAAAACAAAACATTATTCCCAATGTAAACAATGAAGAAAAGAGTCTAATTGCTCAATTATTTTAGATAAATAGTAAATATGTTTTGTTTTTTATATCACGAACATAAAAATTGATTTAAGTTTTTTTCTATAGTAGGGATTTTTTTTTGTGACTCATGTAAATTGATGTAACTCATGTAATGACAAATGTAACTTGTGTTGATGTAAAATGTTACTTAAGTGAATGTAACTTGTAACTTGTTGAGATAAGTCTAAATGTAACTGGTGAATAAAAAGATGCAACTTAAGATGTAAATGGTGTATTAAAGGATGTAACTCCATTTCATACGTAAAACCCAACTGATGCAGTTTTATCCAACTACGAGAGCAAAATATACATAGAGTATAGAAATAATATCGAAAATAATATGGCAACGTAAGGCAATATTACTCTTATTCCGGCAATCGAATTCCCGATCCCTTGGTAGGGTGTTTACATGAAGTATTTATAGAGATTAGGAGGTAGAATTATAGGAGGAATCTAATACAATACATGCTTAATTAATTAACTATATTCTTGCTCGAAATAGATCCCCTTTTTGTGCTTCATCCTCACGAAATAATCATCTCCTAATTCCGGTCGAGTCATGCCTGTTGCCAAATATCTATATTCGAATGATAGCTTGCCACATAAGCCCTAGGGATATCCTGGCCTCACTAGAACTCCGCCCAGGCTCGAGATCTGCAGTCCAGCCCAGCCTGACTGTGGGTTCCTATCGTGGGCCTGATTCCCAATGGGCCAAGCGGCTTGTTTAATACAAATCCCGTTTATGGGCTAATCCTGTTAATTAGGCTAATCCCGTCAAGGGCTGATCCCATTTATGGGCTAATCCTGTTAATTAGGATAATCCCGTCAAGGGTTGATCCCGTTTATTAGCTGGATTACGTAATTGGGCAATGGCTAGAATCCATGGTACCATCACGAGCCCCCCTAATCAATCAAAGTTTACTTGGTGCTTCAGTGCTATTCACTTGATGCATCACTCTTATTCATTTTAATCACACCAGCTCATTTGGAAAAGGGATTAGGTCATAGATATTACTAATTATAAGGATTTGGACAAAACTAAGTCTTGTTCTAGCAAATGCCAAAAATGAGACCTAACGTGCATTCACATGGCCGTTTCCAAGGATTAAATTATTAAAATGTCCCTGCTATGCTAATGAATACTACGTACGTTGTAAATCGAAAAAATGGCATGGAAATAACTATTCGGCTTTTCATTTCTATAATTATGACCGATTTTGCTTTTTCCAAAAGTATGAGTCAAAAGAATGAATTGGACCGTGCCCCTTCTCCTGTTCCAAGGCTTCATCTCCTTTACGGCTCGAAGAAGAACGCAGCTCAGCTCGAAGATAGATCGACGCCCTCCGCCGCCACTGCTCCAGCGTCCGCCGTCGCCGACGCTGCTTCAGCGTACGTCGTCTCCGACGCCGACGCTCGCTTCTTCTTCTTCTTCTTCTCATTTCTTGTTGAACGCTACCCATCTTCTTCATTGCTCGATTGCCGCACCTTTGCCACGCCTGTGCTCGCTTAACCGAAGCCGCCGGTGCTGGATCCGTCGGCTGGATGGACGATGGCTTTATTTAAGGTCACCGGTGCTAGATCTATCGCCCTTGGGGCCGCCAGTACCGGATTTGCCATCGTTGATGACTTGATGCCTTCGGTTACGGATCTGCCGTCCTTGGGGCCGCCGGCGCCAGATCTGGATGGCGACTCCGATTTTGGCAGAGGTGGTTCAGTGGCAGGGGTGGGAGACAGGTTGCAGTGTCCTATTGTGCAGGACTAGGGTGGCGTGTGGTTGGGCTGAGGTGCAGTCGCCGGCCGGAATGGTCATGACGGGGGCGGAGGTGGTTCAATGGCAGGGGGCAGGGCAGAGTCTTGGGACAGGGGCGGGGGTGTGGTAGGGATGGGGCAGGGTGGGGCTGTGGTGGACAGGGGCTGAGGCTTAGGTTGGGGTGCGGTTGTCGCCTGGCCGGCCGGCGTGGTTGGCAGTGACTTTGCCCGGGGGAGGGGGCGGCGGTGACTGGCCAGCGGCGGTGGCTATAATGACACGGGCGGCGGCTACAATGACACGGGAGGTGGT